CTTTTTAAAATAAGACAAATTGGTGAATTCAGCTTCTAGAAGCACAATTCTGTTGCATTGCTTTGTGTCGTTTACCCTGTGTGGCGCCATTTGCTGGAACCTTGTTTGAGTTTGCCGAGAAATTTTAACGAAAGATTTCTGTTCAGCATAAAGAAGTGAAATATTTACTGGAATAAATCCATTTTTAGTCATGGATTGGTAAAGTCCAAGGTCTGCCTTCATTTATCAACTGTGTAATGATTTAATTTACATGTTATTTAATGAGCCATAAGACATAAGATTCCATAGGAAATATGAAATCAACCTTATGGATCTGTTGGGTTATTTAAACCAGAAGATTGGAACTTTTTATTGCAGGGATTATGTAACAGCTTCGTATTAACTCAGAGACAACAGAAGAGAGAGAGTCAAGTTTAAAAGTTTAAAGATTTATTACTAAACAAATTAAACTAGACTAACTTTAACACTAAATGTATGGTGTAACTAAGGTGAATGGGACAGAATGGTGTGATGTGGAATGTTGATCAGAACCAGCAAATCCGAAGAAACGATTAGTTCTGGTGGGAAATGAAGGTGATGTCTTCGCGCTAAGCTTTGGTTTGGAGATTCATAAACACATTCAACGCCATTCCATCTGTCTACGTACCCTTAGCGGAAGTCCCCGTTAGATCAGGAATGTCGAGGTCCAGCTGGACCCTCTCTGGAACCGAAGCCGGTAGGAAAAGCAGCGGTTGCCGACCAGACCAGTCTTTGAGATACTTCCGGGTCACAACAGTTTTGTTGGCATCTAGCGAGACCCAGAACTGGGTCTTGATGGTTCAGCTTTTATTCTGAAAGGAACCGTTGCAGCAGTTGGAACAGCAACAGATTTTATCCAGCTTGTCGTTGGTTCTTTCGGCTGAAGAAGAAAGTTACGGATTGGCCACTCCGACAACTTCTCTAGAACGCTTTGAACTGGTGTTAAAGATGACGTGGGCATAGTTTTATACTTCGGATGTTTTGGTTTATGGTTGAAGGAAAAGTTGACAGATTTACCAAACACCACCAAAACCACGCCTCCGTCAGATCTGACAGATTCTGATTGGATCAGTAAAGCAATGTGTCATGTCTTAACGCTACGTGAGATCAGTCCTAGTGGAAACATTTAAAGTCATATTACTTAATATATTCTATAGGATTATAATAAAGTAATTAATATTTTGATTTCACTGATTGGTCACATCTTATTATTGACTAACACTTTGTTTGATTATCTTTATTAAAATAGAGTTCTCTGATTTATTAAAAGGAGAGAGTCCTTTCTTCATTCTTCTCTTGGGCTGGAAAGGAAGCAGTTTAGAAGCAAATGCATGAGACCTTGAGGCCACATCTCATGCAGACTAGTTCTGTGTCAGAGGAGAGGGGGAAATGACTTTTGGTGAAAAACAGTCATTTCATTCCGTTACAACTGTATATTTGGCCAAGTAACGCTTGGGGCCTAGTTAGTTATTTTGGAGGAGAACTGGAACATCAGCATACTTCTGGTGACCTTGTGCTCCACTTAACTTCCCATGCCAGGGATGCCACTCCTGTCTCAACCTCAATGGGACTTCCTGTGGGACATTAAACACATGTATGCAGGTGCAGATGCTAACACCCTGCAGATGTAGACTTGTTGAGGTTTTGACATGCCACAACGGCACCCACGACCTTTCCCCAAAGATCATCCAGTTCCGTTCAAGCTGCCATGCAGACCTTTGGGAGTGCACCATGCAGACCACCAGCCTGTCTCTTACCTTGAAGGCTTCCCTGGCAGTGCACCCCTCACTGCACTAGAGTTGTGTGCTAATTACGTCTGCTGATGTTTAAAAAAAAGCCAAATTGATGAGAAAAAGAATTAGTGAATGTCATCAGAAAAACATTAAAACCACCAAATGTGCGCGTTGGATTGGACTAAATGTGCATTCTGTTGGTTGTGATGCACGTGTTGCCTCAGTCAGTCTGTAATTGTACCCGAGGACAGATTTGCATGCTCGTGACTTTAAATGCAGTCACGTTCCTCCTGTGTCCTTGTACTCTGTCATAGCCGCTCTGTCAGAACTTGGTCTGCAAATGTACTCCGAGCATTTGCATTCAACGTCCGGGCACTTACCTGATGGGCGTCAACCTGCGCAGCTCCCCAAAGGTCGGCTAGTCGAGGATGAGTGGGAGGGCCGAGGCTGTGGATGGTGCTGTTGGGGGTGGCTTGGAGGGAATGAGAGGCACTGTGTAGCCTGTGCTCCATAGACTGCACAGAGGTTAAAAAAGACACTTTAGGGTTGGATTTTCCACCGTTCCACTCACTCTACTCATTCCTTTTGCCATTTATTTGCACGAACTTTAACAAAAAAAATCCAAAAGCAAATCGCCTTTCATGAAAAAAAAAAACACAAGATCTTACGTTGAAACCTTATGATGGCTGCTCTGCTCAAAAGCTTTAGACCACTTGATGCCTGAGCTCTCATGAGGACCTGTTAGACCCTCAGCATGCGTTTGAATGGCTCACTGTTGCCATGTGAATTATTGGCTCAATAGCTGTAGAACTGACGGTTAAATGGGGTCCGCTCCAAGAAACGGTGATGAGGTCGGTCTAGCCACACTCCGTAGTAGCAGGTCTACCGTTGGCCTAATTGGTTGTCTCTTAATCCAGCTTTCAGTGCAAAAACAGAATCAAACGTGATTTTAGTGTTTTATAAACTCAGTTCATGTGATGGGATGACTGTCAGCCACCAAGCTTCCCCCCGTCTGTAAAACTGAGCCTAGAACTCTAGACCAGGTCAGTCTAGCCATGCACCACAGCAGCAGGTCCACCATTGGCCTGATCGGTTTTGTGTCTTGCCAATCACAGCGCTCTACGTCTAGCCTAACGCTAGAGCTGCGACGGAGGAAAACTACGATGGTTTTGGCTCAGGAACGGCGCTTGTTTGAAACGGCTTTGGCATCAGCTTTGGACAGTTTAAACCTAGTTTTCCTTGAGACATGAGCAGATGGAGGGTTTTTATTTAAAAAAACGGATGTATTTGCTTTTTTGGTGTATGGCGGACTGCCCCATTGACTGACATCCATAGCAATGTACACGTCATGGTGTTCGTGGGTCCGATTTGTCCAAGAGCGGTTCGGCTGAGTGTGGAGACAGTTTAAACGAAAACAGTACCTCCCACCCCACGACTGGATTGTTTCAATGGCTTGCGGCCAAACTAAGGATGGCCAGCATTTCCCCATTTCTCTACGATCACACCTCTGTGTCATGGACGTAATTTTGGGGGTGGGGGTGGGGGTGGGGGGGTGGGGGGGTTGGGGACATGTCCCCCCCCACTTTTTCCAAAGTCAAGTTTTGACGCCTGCAATTTTTACCATCCAAAAACAATATTACGCTATATTAAATTGACACTGGTTGAGCTCTAGGACCAAGCAGAAAACAACCGTTTGAGTTGAAGCCGGTTTCCCATTAGAGCATACTGTAAAGATCCCCACCCCCCCACCCCCCCGTGTCCCCCCCACTTCTAAAGTGAAAATTACGTCCATGCTCTGTGTGCATCAGTGTGCAGAAGTGTATCAGTTCTCTGGGGCCCCCTTGTGGCCCGGAGGCCCTGAATTACTCCCTGCCCTGCCTGTCGGCACACAATGCCGCTGGACATTTTTCCAGTGAGTTCTCCCTAAAAACGTTAATAAAGTTTGTCCAGTGGTTTGTGCGACAGTTTGCTAATGAGTGCAATCACAAACAAAGGGAAAATCCAACACATTCTCAGACCCGAGGCGTCAAAATATGACGATTCGGGACGCCCCAGCACGTCAGGATAACCCCCAAATTCCACTACCTCCCCTCCGCTCCGACACGAACGCCGGAGCAAAATCGGTCCCGTTGTAGTCAATCAGAGCTGTTCCACTACTGCGGCCGTGCTCCGCCCTCTGTTCCGGCGTCCAGCAAAAATAGAATCGATCCTATTTTCGCCGGACGCCGGAGCACCTCCGCAGTAAATGGACAAAAATCACAAACGCCCAACAGGAAAAGCAGCGAGCACAATTTCCGTTTTTCACAATAAATCGAACAAAAGGCGTTTTTTGTTTCATATGCACAGGTTTAACAACTTTTAACAACTATCAATGGCGGCTGAACTTTAAATGCACAAAAGTAAGCCATAAATACAGTTTCCACTATCAAAGTAGTCACACTTTGTTGATCCAAACACTGCTGATCTCTCGACACAAATGATGGGCAGATTAAACAGTTCATGCCGATGCTTCTCCCACACAACGGGTGTTTGGATCTAACTTCCGCGTTTATTGCTCGGACTGTATCGCAAGATCTCGAAAATCCCGCGCATGCTTGTTTGCCCACCTCAGGTCTCCGCACCGGAGCGGAGCCGTTGTAGAGCGGGTACCAGTAAAAATTGAGTTCGGAAGCGAGCGGCTGCGGAAGGCGGGGGCGGACCGGAGCGGAGCGGAGGTAGTGGAATTTGGGGGTAAGACGATTAGGGACACGGAGGGTCACGTGGCTCGCTGGCGTCACTGTTTGACGCGCGCGGTCACACGGACATTGTTCAACTATTTAACCTTCTCCTCACCCCAATCCTAACCTTAAGGTCCATAAACTGTGACCTTAGGGTTAGGGTTGGGGTGAGGGGAAGGTTAAGTAGTTCACAAGCAGTTCTAATGTCCGTCTCAACACCAGCGTTGGATTCGGACGCTCTGGGACGCTACGTCAGCAGTTTGTCCCCGATCGTCTTATCCTGACGCGCTGGGGCGTCCCGATTCGTCACATTTTGACGCCTTAATCAGGTTTCTACCACCCACTGTCCTTTCTGCACTTCCTCGTTCAGGAATGAACCTGCATGCAACAGAAGAGCAAAAGTCTTGAGCTGACGTGCACCGACGGATTGGAGGCTTTTTGAATTTAATCTCATATTTTATGTAACATGAGACGGGCGCTGCTTCTCAGAGGAAACCGCATAAGCGCACAGAGTGAAGCTGAAGAGCTCATTTCCACTGAGGTGTCGGATCGGTGCACCTTTTCAGAGAAGCCCTCCCTGACCTTTTAAAGTTATTATTTCATAACCCACAGTTATTTAATGAGCTCAGAGCGTGCCCCGAGCGAGAGCAGCCGGCGACGCCTGGAAAAGTCACCGGTGTCACGGCGCATCATGACTCACTTCGTTTGCATAAAATCTTCCAGCAGCCAGTCAAATCAGCAGCGGATTTCTAATAAAAGGCTTAAAAACGGAGCCTCGCCACAACCTGTGAGCAGAAGCGCGCTTAGCAACACAAAGCAGACCTGATGAGTTGTGCTGCTGCACAGCTGAAGATTCACATTTGCATAAACAATACGTATAAATGTCACAACGAAGGACAAAAAATACTACAAAGGTCTTCCTTTTACGACAAATCTCAGCCAAGATGAATTGATACTTCTCTTTTTCAGCAGTTGCCATGGCGACAAAGGCCCATCTGTGTGTTTGTTAAAGAGCAAGTCACCCTTTACAAGAAGCGTACTTCACTCTCACTTCATGTTTGAAAAATGCAACAAATGCTGTTGCCTAGCAGACCGCGAGGGTGGAGCCACTTACAAATACACACACTCACGACATTGTGACATCATAATGTACCAGTTTACATCATAGCATATCTCTTAGCCAATAGCGGTGGCAGATTTAAAGAGCAAGTCACCCTCAAATCAACTTTTTCCCCCTGATAAACTATATAAATGCGTGTCTAATCGTGCTGCAGACACGTGTCGTCAATAGTTTAGCACTTTAATGCATTTTAGTTAAAATTTTAATTTTCTGCCTAAAACTGGCAGTGTTGTGCCGTTGTCAGGTAAAAACTCTGCACTGTATTTGAATTTAAATCTGCCACCGCTATTGGCTAAGAGGTATACTATGATGTAAACTGGTACATTATGATGTCACAATGCTGTGGTGAGCCTGTGTGTGTGTGTATTTGTTAGTGGCTCCGCCCTCTCGGTCTGCCAGACAACAGCATTTGTTGCATTTTTTAAACATGAAGAGAGAATGGAGTTAGACTCTGGTAGGGGGTGACTTGCTCTTTAAATTCAAATGCAGTGAAGAGTTTTTACCTGACAACGACACAACACTGACAGTTTCAGGCAGAAAATTTAAATTTTAACTAAAACGCACTGAAGTGCAAAACTATTGACTACACGTGTCTGCAGCACGATTAGACACGCATTTATATAGTTTATCAGAAAAAAATAGTTGATTTGGGGGTGACTTGCTCTTTAAATGAAAACGAGCCCTTTCTGTGGACGCCACACCTGTTGTTGTTGATACTGCAGGAACTGTTGTTGCTGGTAGTGATGAAGCTGTTGAAGCTGATGGAGTTGACTTTGCTGCTGCAGTGCAAGTTGAGCCTGATGCTGCTGAAGGTACCCGCCCACTGTCCCGTCAAACCCCTCTCCGGGCGTTCCGCCCGCCCCGCTGCTCCCACCTGGAACAGCCAGAGAGGCAGAGGAGCTCAGAGAGGCAGAGGAGGCGTGCAACAGACTTTCAGGGACAGACGGTCCTCACCTGCAGCCATGATGTAGGAACCAGCGGCCGGCGAGACCACGCCCGAGGGCTGGCTGGTGATTGGTTCCCAGGCATCCGAGGACGAGAGGCAGTAAAGGCCCTGTGAGACGTAGGTGTGAGGCCAGACGTCTGCTGAAGAGTGATGGAGCACCTGGTCTGTTAGGACAGAAACACGGAGGAGGTGTGAAACTGACCAGTTTAATCCCACGAGACCTCGGTCCATGTTCCTGTGTTAATCTGACTTTAGATGGGTAATCTGGGAGGATCGAGGCGTGCTCACAATCTCTCAAAGCAGAGAAATGGTTCCAGAAATCAGGGCTGGATCCCACGGCGGGTCGCTAAACACTAAATCTGGCGTCTTTAGATGAACTTCAGAAAGTAAATAAAACTGAAATAAACTCTAATATCATTTTACTGCAATTAGAGCAAAAGATAAATGGATTAAAAGAGTTTTGCATAAATAGCTTAAATCTGCTCTGAGCTTTTTCTTCTCTTCTAAATTATACATTAGTTCTTTTAATGAGGCTTTGTTCTGTTCAGTAGTTTGCTGAAATGGAAAAAACATAACGATTGTGTTCTTAATGCACTAAAAACTCATTTGAACTGATTAAATTACAGCTAGTTTCTTTACAGGAAATGAGAACATAACACTAAAATATTCACAGCTGCTAACATTTTATTTTTAATTTACACAAATTATAAAAGTGATCTCTTACTCTAAAACAAGATCTTCAGCATGAAATCTTTTTTTTTAAATATTATTATTATTATTTGATAAAAATGCTAAATAAAAGCCAGATTCCCACAAAAAGCAACAGGATTAGTCGAACTTTGTGGAGGAGAAACTTGCCTTGGCCGTCGCTGCGTTTGCACACGTGCGTGTGTGTGCGCGTGCGTGTCCGTGTGTGTGTGTGTGTGCGTGCATGTCCGTGTGTGTGTGTGCGTGTGTGTGTGTGTGCATGCACGTGAGAAAGAGAGAGAGAGAGAGAGTCTGCCAATTTGTTACCTTGTTATTGCAGAGCTGGTGGGTCCCTTTGGTCATCGTGTGTGTGTGTGTGTGTGCGTGTGTGTGTGTGTGTGTGTGTGTGTGTGTGTGTGTGTGCGTGTGTGTGTGTGTTTTCTGCACAAGGAGGCCCTGAGCAGAGCCCGTATGGTCGGTGTTAATGAAACCCTCAGGGCGGAGACGGAGCTTTACATCGCTAAACACCGGTGGTGAGTGAAAAGGTGTATCTGATGGTGTTAGTGTGCATGAGAGGAAAGTCACTTTGGTCCAGGTTGCAGAAAAATCCTCACAGAGCTACAGAATGAATCTGTTTGGCTGCTTTTCTTTGCTCTATTTAGTCTTTAGATGTGAAACCGAGCGCTGGAGAGGCCTGGTGAAAGAGTGAAATGATCCCGAGCTTGTCTTTCAGGTTTCTGCACACATTAAAACTGATCGTTCAGGAATGACGTGTTGTCATCCAGATCTGTCCTTCACCTGTCTGAGTGGGAGCCCTGCAGGAGTGAAGTGTACAGCTGGGTCGCTGCCCTCCAAACGTACTTGACTTTTGGCAAAAAAAATAAGGGATGCATCTATTCTGAGGCCAAAAGGCGTGTTTGCACCACCGTCTTTTGGGAGTTTTAGCAGATCAGGAGGAGTTTTACCTCTGCTGGTGATGCTCTCCTGATTGACCTCGCTCAGGTGGGCTACACTGCCCTGGTTGGAGCCAGCCCCCATGCTCTCCCCGTCCACGGAGTTCCAGCCGAACAGCGTTGCCTCTGAGATGGCAAACTGCTGCATAATACCTGGAGACGAGATGTTTTAGGACAAAAAACCAAACATCAGTGCTCGCTGATGTCAGGAGGACACACAGATGTTTATTAGTAATGAAAACAACAGTCAGTGGAGGAGAAGAGTGTTTATTCTAAATGAGAAATCAGTCAGGCTGCAAGCAAATAAATGACTTTAACTCTGGTAGAAGCTAAATAGAGTTCTGAGGGCATTTTGAAGGGTAAAAATCCAGATTTTAACAAATTAGCTTTTGGTGGTCAAAGCAAACAAAGTGTTGATACAGGCGATAGTATGGGTCAACGAACTATGAAAAAATACTATAGTACAAAAATAAACATAATGGTATAGTAGTATGTGTCCAAAAACATATATAAAATATAATACTTAGGTATTTTTCATGAAGTTATAAATACCATAATACAATAGTTTTATGTGTCCTAAAAAATATGGTCACACTTTAGTTTAGGGAAAACAAATGAACCATTAATTAGCTGCCAATTAATATGCTTATTAGTGGACTACTAAGTCTTAATTAGTCACTATTAAGCGATTACGACCCGCACCCACAGAAAGCACCGTCCGTGTGGAGACCTCACAGACTGGGACGTTACTCGAGGTGAATCGTAAGCTGGACAATGTTCTAGCTGCGATACCGGTATTAGTGCGCAAAATGGATGTCATCTCGGAGAGAGTCACCGGACGGTATGGACAGGTTTAAAAACCCAAAATGGCTTCACTGAAGGACTGGAATGATCAGTTTAAAGAGGCAGAGAGGAAAATTATCTCAGCCTGACCCAAACAAAGTCTTGTCATCCGAATCTGACGCACTAGCAGCCTTGAGAGGCTAGGAACAAACCCCCACGAAGGAATACAGACAGATGCTGTGACCCCCCCGCCTTCGGATTGGTGGACTTCAGCCTGGCGAAGTCATCAACCTGCAGGAGTCAATGTGCTCTTCGCTTCTCCCAAGATCTCCCTCCCACCTGTGGCTACAGTGGCTGAGTGCCGTAGATGGCTGCTCTCGCTGGGGAAACAGGATCCCAGCCCCCCCTGCCTTCCTATTGGAGTCTCATGTTATGTTGTTTGTCTGAAGTCTGTTGCATATCTGTCTGAGGCGTGTTTTTGCAGAGCAAAGCTGCCCTCCTGGTGGGAGGGTAGCTGTGAAGTGCCTTATTTTCCCTCCTCCCGAATCAATTCCTCATGTAACCCTCTTATCTCTATTAAGGTAGCGTGACTCAGGGTTGCGAATGACCACAGTCACCAATTCCTGTCATGTGTCTTGTCCATGTATGTCTGATCTTTGAACTGTGTGTACTGAAACTCTTATTTCCCTCTGGGATTAATAAAGTATCTTTGATTTGATATGCATATTAATTGGCAGCTAATTAATGGTTAATTTGTGTTAGCCAATAGCAACAGGCTAACGTTGGTAGGTGTCTAAGACATATATAAACATCATAGACACCTACCAACTTTAGGCTGTTGCTAGTGGCTAATTCGGGTCACCGTGGTCCCTAACAGCAAACTTAATAAAAGCATTAAAACAACAGAAATGTATTTGTCCTGTTGGATGAGTGCCTGGGTTAGGATAACAAGTGTTTATGTATCACATTCTGCAAAAACTGATTTTAAAGGAAATAAAGGGCTAGTTTTTAGACGTCTTATCTTACTCTTAGTCACAGAAGAAATAAATGTTCTCAGCAAAAACAGCACTACTTGGATTCTTAAATATGAGGTAAATTGTCTTCTTTTGCGTAAAAAAAATGGGGTAAGCTAAAGTTGCTTGGCTAGAATTCTTGAGGAAGTCCTGTTTTGCGGTGTATGTGAGCTTCATGCATCTCCTGTGGCTCCTGTGGGACTTCTGACAGATCAAACACGTCTGTAGTTTGGAGGAGAAAAGCCACAGCTCTCATTAAATGAGACATTTCCTCTCTGGTGGGTTAGTGGAAAATAAAAACATCTCATGGTCATGAAAGACATTTTGGCTGACGTGTTTAATTTGTGGACATTTTGTAGGAAAATCTCCAAACGTCATAAAACTTGAATTCTGACTGTTTAAAAAAATACACAAAACTCATTAAAACATCAGTTCGATCACATGAAGTTTAATTTTCTGTGATTCAGTTAAACTCTGAACTCAGAAGTCTTCCTGACCTCCAAAAGGGGGCGGGGCTTTCTCACCTGTGGTTCCAAGGTCTGATTCTCACCTGCAGCAAAGCGAGCCTCCTTTTCACCATCGCTGAGGTCACTGTACGCGTCGTTCTCCATCCTCCGCTCCTTTTCCCGCTGCAGGTTGGTGTGCCCCGCCCCCCCCAGCGGCCCCGCCGACGGCTTGCCCCAGCTCTGCCACTCGATCATGTGGGCGACGCGACCCTGGGCCATGGCGGTGGGCTTGGTCACCTTGTCCTTCATGGAACGAGATACACCTACAGGAGGGGCAGCAACACACACACACACACACACACACACACACACAAACTGTCAAAACTAATTCTGGCCTCTGCGGTTGATTACACCTCCAACTGAGGCACGGGAGAGAGGAAGAATGAGGATGAGGAACAGTGATGCTAAGGATCTTTTCCATGCTGATAACTATAATAATAATAATAACAATAACAATAATAATAATAATAATAGGCACTAAGGTGATAAGCACCCAGGTAAGGGTAAATTAATGTCTTATAATGCGTGGGATGGTTTATTCCTACATTTTTGTCACAAAAACATCTTTATTTTTTAGTTTTGTTCAGTAAAACATCTGCAGGACGAAGAAAAATCTGATAAATAACTTTGTGAAAAGGTTAAAGGTCAGCCGAGGAACTACACTCGTCTGAAATGACGTTTCAGACATAAACAAAAACAAGGATGACAAGCTTCACAATGGGATCTCAACACTCCGGGTAAACGTGGTTGTTGGGAATGAAAGGATGAACTGCTGGGTGAAAATGCAACAGTTTGCTGCCAAATCTTCGCCTAAATCAGATCCAAATGTAGGATTCAGACTGGGGACTGTTTCCATGAGTCAAACGCGTGTGGAGCGGCTGATTGATTAAAATAAATTAAATTAAAATCAAGCGGTCATGAAAAAAACGGAGACAGAGCTTTGGAAATGACTCCCCAGGTCCGCGGGGCAGGCTGCAGGCGGAGCTATAAATAGACTCGCTTCTCCCATTAGACAAAGATCTTATTTGGAAGTCAAAGTCGCTGCAGAGCCTAACTGGGGACGGGAACAGGAATGGGGGGTGAAGGATGAGGGTGTTGGGGTCTCCGCTATTCGAGTCTGTGATGCTGTGAAGCTAATCAAACATATTTATTTCAGAAAGGAGACTGTTTTACAAACGTCGAGCACAAAGAGCTCACACACCATAAAGAGCACAGAAACGGCACCACTGCAGCACACAGAGTAACGACGACTAGACAAACACCATCAGCACGACACACGACGTACCCCAACACGCCTGTGGAGATGCTTCAATGGGCCATGAAAGTAAGTCACCTCACTTACTTTAGCTGCTTTGAAATCAAAGGTCTGATTGAATTTCCATCAATGACTCAGAAATGTGTCATTGACGTCAGCCGTTGGCATCAATGGAGAAAGGGGGGGGGGGGGTGGTATAGGAAGAGGGGGGCACCCACAGGGGCGGTCATGTTGGTTCCAAGCTCCTCCTCCTCCTCCTGGTTAAGGGTGAAGTTGTCTGTTGAAGTGAGGTTGTGCTTAATCCTAAATCTGCCACGGATGGAAAGTTCAAAAGAACTTGTTTTTCTGTTTTTCTTCATGTGCGTCATTTATTACGCTCCCGCGTAAAAACAACTAAAAAAGCTTAAAGCTAACAGTTAGCAGGGCTAGCTGTCCCAGCAGCCTCTACCAGCTCCACCAGAGTACGGGGTGCCATTCGTAAAGTCAAGCAGTCATTTAACTCATTCACTGCCATTGACGACTAAAGTCGTCATTTTAGATCCAACCGTCATTTTAGATCCAACCGTTCACTGCCAACTGTATTTTTTTTTTTTACTGTTTGAGCATCGGAACGAGCCCCCGCGCTGAGAGAACAAACATCTCAGCCCTGAAGCCGATCTTCATCCGCATACGTCACAGATCACATGATCAGGAAGCAACACATCCATGTGTTTGGAGATCGTTTTGGGCCGTTCCTGTAAAAAAAAGTGAGGCGCGAACCGGAAAAGCGTCTGCCGATCACATTTCGACAACGGATTATGAAAGAACGGATAACGCTCGAAACATGCGGCTTCTTCCTGAGTCTCCTCTTTGTTTTGGCTGTTTTGGCATCGACATCATGCTAGCGCGCAACGTTCTGTGACTCTTAAAAAAACAGTAAAAACAGTGAGAAACGCTGGCAGCGAAGGCTGTTAGTGATCAGGAAACGCTGGCAGTGAATGAGTTAACAGCAATATTTAGGTCATTTAGCCCATCACAGGAGAAAAAAAAGGGAGTTTATTTTTTAAAGTCGTATTTTCAACATGGTGCTCATACATTTATAAATGTTATAGATCCCAACTAAATATTTAGGTAGCAAGATAAATATTTAATTTAGAGTAAAATCTTTATTTTACAAACTAAATCTTTTGGTCAGACCTAAATATTTGGTATGTAAAATAAATATTTAACTAAATATTTAGTTCACAAACTTCATTACATCATCAAGTATGCAACCAACTCAACTCACTCAGTAGGATGACTGTAAACATCACCTTTTTCATTAGAAACAGCCACTAAATGGAATTAATATTATTTAAATGATATAGAAGTGAACCGTTATTTTTCGTCTTACTTTCTTTTAAATCTTATTCCCGAAGTGTAAACAAGGCAGAAGGCCCCATGCGAGAGCAAAACGTTAAGCAACATAACTTAAAGAGAAATTTTTGCCATTTTCATGTGTGTTTCTGTGTAACAATCAGAGATAAAAGGCGTTTCTCAATGTCAAGGCGCCTGGCCTTGCGAGGCGATGTCTTGCGAGGCCAGGCTTGCTTACGAGGACACGGTCCTTCCTTGATCAAAGAAAACGGTTAAATGGAACAGACTTGCATCACGTGACCACGGCTTCCACGGCGGTCACGTAACGTCACGTGACACGGGAGATAACGTTATATTTTATATGTATTAGTTTCAATATAAATATATAACGAGCCTTATACTTTTTAAATTGTGTATATATTAGTTAAATTAAAAATATAAGTGAGTTACTAACCACTAGCCACCAAAGCTGCTGTCATTGTATGTATTAGTAGTTACTAACATCTAACCAACCATAGATAACTTCTTTGGATCTAAACAAACATTTTAAATTAGTTGACTTACTTTTAAACTTGAAAATTGTCCCTGAAGTAGCTGCCGGCTTCTGATCCGCCATCCTTTTGAAAATACCGCGGTGTATTGTGGGCAATTTTTGACCAAGGCTAGGCTACAAGACACCTCCCGTGTGTCCTTGCTCAGCTAGCTAAACGGCTAACAACCTGAGAACACACGCCTTGGTAGAACATGAACTTTGGAACACGTCTTGACGGCTTCTGATGACGTATCTCCTAGGCAACCGGGGCGGGGCCAAGACATCAAGGCGAGGTTCCTTGGCATTGAGAAACACCTAATGTCTCTTCTATGTCGTAGAAAGCTTCCTGAACAGCCTCTTTTCAGAAAAAAAATAGATGTACGTCATTCAGGACTGACAAGCTAATCCGACGTAGCCAAGACTAAAACGTGTGTTATTTCGTAAAGATCACCAGCAGTAATGAAATGTAACACATATAAGAGGTTAGAGCCACTTTAAAACAGAAGCATTAAACTTTGTTCTTGGCTGCAAGCGGACTAGCCGTTAGCTTATCTGTGGGTCAGCCTATTTATTTTTACGCAGAAACAAACTTTGAAAATGGCCACAACATCTCGTTACAGTAATCAGAGCAGCAAGAGGCCTGTAGTTACTGTTTACAGTCTGCGAGCCAGCGGGGTTGCCGTGTCTGCGCCAATCTAACGAGTGTTTGTAATTCGACACTGACCGGCAAAACGCAACAATGTTTTACATAGATCCTACGCCAGCAGGAGCGACCCTGGCATTATTCTTGTACCCCTAAGAAGCCACGCCTTTTTTATCGCACAAAGCAGGTTATAGAAGCTAACGTTGAGCTAACAATGCTAACAGTGAATTAGCTCTAATAAAATCTACTTTTTCAATTACGAACAACTCGATATTACAGTAAAAAGTATTTATTTCTTAATCAACTTCCTGTGCATGACTCATCTTCACTTTTATCTAGAATCTTCTGACGCTTGACCGTAGCTGGCAGCAGTCATTCAACTCTCACAACAGGAGTGAGAAAGTCACTCGTTTGTTTGGGAAATGGGATGCAGTACCCACATTTGGCCACAGGGCTAAGGTTACACATAATGCACCTTTATTTCTTGCTCTCCAACATCTCTCTGAGCTACTTCCTCTCTGGACTCAAACAGAAAAAGTAAAAATGATTACCCACACACATTACACCTGTGGGTCAGAGGTCAGGGTTTGATCTTCAGTCCTAACAGGCACTGAAGCATCCTTACGGCTCACTGTGCCCCCCCAAACACTCTTCCATGTGCTGATTTGCACACAAGCACTGATAAAGTTATATTGAATCTAAATGAGGATAGAAATGGGTCACTAAAAAGACAGAAGTTGTAAGAAACACTTCTCCATTCTAGTAAAAACTCACAACTAAATCATCACTGGAACGATCTTCTCTGAGGAGAAATTCACCCGTCTGCATCCTTCCATGTGAGGCGAAAGAACCGCTGGCTCTCAAATGCGTTTGAGCTGCCATAAAACCTAAAAATCCTTCAGGCATGTGCACTTTTACATGTTTAAAGACCCAACAAAGAATTGTATGGGAGGATGTTGCAACAAACTGCAATACCCTTAAAAAACCTGCTTTCTTTCTCCGGAGCACGATGAAGGTCTTCAAACGGAGAAAACTCCATTCAGTGGAATGATTGCTGCAATTTGCAGTCAATTAGATTAAATTACTGCATTAAATGATCATTTTACTCCCATTTACTCGATGATCAGACTCCACCTGAGGATTCTTGTTTAATCACATTCTGATCATGTAGTTCCTGCAGCAGAACGGCACCAGAAAGTCATCCGAGCACACAAAGGAAGCAGAAAAATAAGATCTTTTGCACAACGAGAAAAGGAGGTAGACTCTCTTTTCATTGGTCAACAACAACTTCACCTTTGACCTCCTATGTGGAGCATGTGGAGGCAACATGGGGGCTGTTTTACCACCTAGCAGCACAGACACACACCTGACACACCTGACAGAGAGGACTTAGCCAGGGCACCGATCCCATAGGTGTTGGCGGGCTTCCTCTTGAGACGAGGCAGAATGGACGTAGTGTCCTCCATGGACAACTGAAGACATAGGGGAGGGGCGTAAGGAGTGATGGGATTAAAGGGTAGTGAGCAGAAATGGAGAGCAAAATAACGGGATGGTGAGGGATTAGAAGATGAAAAATCACAGAAAATGACATAAGAAGTGAGACGAACGCAGGAAAGAGAATGCTCAAAGAAATTGAGGCGAAAGATCAGACCAGAGGAGGTGGGGTGAGATGAGGGAGAAGAGGAGGGAGGTTGTTATGAAAGGAATAAGAAAGGAGGGTTAATCATTGGAGCACTTTGAAAACGACTCAAGCATCATTTATTAAAGAGAAGGAAATCATACGACAAGGGAAAATGTAACGGCACAGTAGAAAATAACTCCAGAACAGGATGAAAAGTACCGAGGGTGGGGTTAGGGTCACATACTGTTGGAGTTACTAAATAAAAAGTGGAAAAAGCAACCTGAGGGTGATTTTATTATGCAACCAAAAGACGTTTAGTTTAAATGAGTTCAAAGCAAATTTCCCAATAAAATACTTTCTTCTAAATTTTAAACATCAAAAAGTTCATTTCTGACTTTTTCTGACTGAGACAGTGTGAATTTGTGTTATTTTAATAACTTTTGTTTAGTTGTTTTCCTCTAATGTTCATCTTAAACCAGGGGTGTCAAATATGCGGCCCGCGGGCCAGATCCGGCCCGCAAGCGGGTTAAGTCCGGCCCGCGAGATGGTTGTGAAAACTTTATTTTCATACTTTACAATGTAGAGTGAAAATAAACATATCTTTGTGAGCAAGTTTTCTCTGTAATGAGTATAAATAAAACAAAGCTGCGCTCAAGGCTCACACAAGAACTTGAATCCCATCCTGAAGATGGCCGCCACTCAGGATGTGACTTCTGATGTTGATGTGCTGGTGAAAGCTAAAAGATGTAAAGTAAAATGAGTCAAATATACTTTAAGTGCTGCATGAAACTGATCTTGCCATGTGATCTGTAAGCTCTTTGAATCACTAAGGAATTGATTTTTATTTATTGATTTTTTATTGTTTTCAAATTTTCAAGTACACTTCAGGTGTTGTACTTGTACTACACTGTCCTCAGGCTCCAGTCTTGTTTTATATTGATTGTATAAAAACAAAGAAAACAATCTGAATTTTTTTTTTTTTATTTACCGGTCCGGCCCACTTGGGACTAGATTTCCCTCAATGTGGCCCCTGAGCTAAAATGAGTTTGACACCCCTGTCTTAAACCATTAAAATGCTCCTCGGTCTGAACTACAGCTGCTGCTCGTAGCAAAATGTCTAAAAACATTCAGGATTTCTCCGAACGGGAGCGTAAGAAAGCTGCTAATCTACCCAGAATTAGAAACCGTCTCCGACTCTAGCGTCCTCGGTTAGCACGTTCACAAGGGTCTGGTTTGGAAGGGTTACAAGAGAAAGGCTTTTCTGTCTAAAACAACGTAACTTTGGTTCGTGGCTTTTGAACAGATGAGACAATCAGCTCCGACCGAACACGAGCACGGTGGTGGAAGGTTGATGATTTGGACACGCTGCAGGCACTGAGCTGAAGTTTGGACCAAACGGAGTCATAAAACAGGTCAAAAGGAGATGATCTGAAGTTTCACATGGACCCGATGAGGCTTCTTCACCAGGACACGGTTGAGCTGAGATGAGGCCCGTTTCACTATCGGAACCAAAGGTAAATTCACCAAAACGTTGCGGCGGTAGAGTCACCGAGTGGAACCTTTGGTGAACTCATGCTGATTGGTTGCGACTCAGTAGGAAATGAGCAGACATCACAAAACAACCAGCATTTGAAAACTGAGAGAGCTGCTGGTGAAGCAGAATAGAAGCTGCTTTAAAATCCTCTTTACTAAGCTCCCAACACCGAAAAGTCTTCCCAAAACTACGCCATTCGTGGGAATTCATTGTCTCACAGAAAACAGTTGTTTAACACCACATTTTACGTCACACAGCAGCTCTCCCAGTCCTCTGACTGGATTAAATTACGGTGTACTTCCAACAAAGTAAAACTTTACTGTTATTAACGTTTGTCACTGGTCGGTGACATCACCGCCGAAGCAGTTGTGATTGGCTGACGTCTTAGCAAAGTCCTGAAAGGGCTGAATTTGTCTGGAGACGCAACGGCTGAGAGAACCGAGTCATGACACCCTCCTCCTCCCGGAAATTTCCCGGAACTCCCACAGTGGAAACACATCTTCTGTCAGAAAACCTTTGTCGCAACTTCTCGCCTTTACTGATCAGCGCCGCATCGATTGGCTGCGAAAACTGGAAATCCATCAACTTCATCGGCTTGTTTAAAACAGAAAAGAGTCACGGTATCCACAAGAACCGCACTCCCAACACCCGTCATCATATCTGCAGCAGTGATAAAACTACGGTGGCCCGGAAGGTTCAGTAAATACAAAAACCACAACACCACAGCAAACGCTTTAGCAGAAGTAAATAAAAATACATTCTCATAAACTGAAGTTTTGGTCACCTTAAGATAAAACAGGTTTTTTAACAGCCTCTTTGTCATCACCTACATCTGTTGTGCTTTTGCTGTTTGGTTTTTGTATTTTGGTGTAAAACTCTGCTAACAAACGCGTCGTCACTGGAGAACAGAGAGTTTCTAATGATGACATGACCGTGTGTTTGCTAAGCTGATCTAAGCTGACAGCTGCTGACAGCCTGAACAGATTCAAAGTGAAGGACAGAGAACAGTTTGGTTTTTCTCTAACTCAGGCACAAAAATGGATTTGAAATTTCTACTTCATTTTAAATATTGATGCACGTGTCCTATTTCATTTTACATGTATGGATGGCAAGTTCAAGCTTTTGGACATCAGAAACTCCCTAAGGAGATGAATGAAGTATCGATGCATCATCCCTCTATCCGGTCTATATCAGTATTCATTTTCAAAACCGATATAAACCGATATTAATATATTAGGAGAAAAAAGAAGAAAAACGATCTCCTATCATGTGTCCTTAAACGTTCAACATTAAAGCTGTTATAGCGAACCTACAGAACAAGCTAGGTTTGGAACCCAAACACAATCATGGAACACTCAGCCCTTCTTCTGTCGGAACCAGAAACACAGATTGCCAGAGGATACGAGATGGCGCTAAACACCTGTTGCTGTTTTCTAGGTCCAAACATTTTTTTTTTGCCTGTGACTTCAGATGGTGATTTTCTTTTTGGGACTCTGGTAGTTTGTCCTAAAGTTGAAGCCGTAGCAGCCGGCTGTTTCTCCTTTCCCTGATGTTATTGAGCGGAGAACCTCTCACACCAGTGGTGTTCTGCTGCTAAATATGGTCCAAAAGTTGCAAAGGAATCACTTCATTAACTTATTTGTTGTTGTTTTTTTCTCTCCAGAATATATTTACAGCTTTACTATGTTAGAACATTTTAACGAGGCATGCAAATGCTTTAAGCTAATTGGTTTTCCAAGTTTGCTTTTGCTGCTTTAACGTGCTAAATATGGCAACTTCTTCAGTTAAAGTTAGGCCAGTGGTGCCAAACAATCAAACAAATATCAAAAACTACACCTCTGAGCTGTCATATTTAAAGTTTTTTTAGTGGGAGGAGAAGAAGCGGAAGAGTTTGATGTTTAATATGTGCCTGGTATGTAAAAGTCGTATAATTAAAAAGTAAAAACAGACACTGATCATTTCCGATGTTCGATCTGAACGCCAACATCGGACATTTCTAAGTAGATCAGATATTAGAAATGTGTCTCTTAAAAAAAGAAACAAACAAAAATGAAAAAAGAAAGAAAAGAGAAAAAAGGAAAGAAAAAAGAAAAAAGGAAGAAAAAAGAAAAAAAAAAGAAAAAAGAAGGAATTAAAAAAAAAGAAATGTGTCGATTATCTGCTTCCTGGTTTGTTTCCAGACTAAAAATGTCCAAATAAATCCAGATGAACTTTCACAGATATTTGGTTATTGAGATGCTCTTCATCATGCATGCTCTATGTTTAAACTAGGACTGCCTAGTTTATTATGGCCTTTATTCTGGGACTGTGTATGTGCATGTACACATAATGAGAGAGAGTGTTGTAGCTTGCAGTAGATTGGCAGGAATAAGGATGTTTGGGAGTTTTACAAAAACCTGAGGATGAGAGCGAGGAAGAGGCAGGAAGAGATAAGCGAGAGGGAGAAAGAGGTGGACGGATAAGCAAGCAGGATGTCTGCTTGTGTTCTGGAAGCTCGGCTCAGGTGAGAGGGATGACGGGAGAGCAGCTCTGAGTGGAGTGTAAGGAGATTTCAACAAGGAGACTTACATTGATGCCTTCCCAGGAAAACTCGGCACGGCCATGCTGAGGGGAGAGGGGAGGAGAAACACACGGAGACAGTAATAAAACAGAAAAAGTAGGAGAACAGGAACATTTCAGAGGAGGGAAAGTGATGACTTTACAAGAAAAAGGTCTTAATCTGGAATTATTATGTTGTTTTTGTGGAAAATTTGTTCTTTTTGAAGTAGAATTGCTGTATTGAAATTTAATCTGGAAATGCATTTACCCAGCATGCACACGAGCCTGTGAGAGTCCACTAAAAACCCAGATTTTATAGTATCTATGGTTTAAAACAGCAGTTTGTGCAAAAGGAGGAGCACGTTGTTAGCTGCTCTGTCTCTGTTTGGGTAACCAATGGATACCATCCAGAAAACACATTACCAAGGGAAATGCTAATTTCATGTGCATCTTGACTTCTCGTGAGCATGTAAAATACACGCATGGGCCGTCGTGCACATTCGCCGTACGGATGCACCGTGAGCACAGAAGCAGAAGAGGAGCCTTTTCACCTGTGGATGTTACAGTCGAGAGGGTTTCTGCAGGTCTAAAGGTTTGTTTCTCCGCTGTGGCTGTAAGCTTGTTATCGTGTTTGGAAAAGCCAGCAGCTTATTTATGTCCGCAGCATCGGAACACAAGAACAAACACAAAAGAATAAAATGTGCTGATCAGGGATCGCTGAAAAAATAACTTCAGACGTGGTAATGAGATGTAGCCTCAGTCTGTATGAATAATCATCCAGCAGCTGCGTGATTAAAAAACAGGCTTTAGCCTGGATCTTTATATTAATAATTATAAATGAGGGTTCAGCTTGGTTCAAGGCCTTGTTGGCCCCATTAGCATATTTATCTGATGTGAAAGTCGGAGTGAGTTTGGAAAAGGGAAACTGGGGTTGTCTGAAATCTGAATGCTGGGATTAATCGCCCTGCGGGCTCTTTTTCATTTTCCCTGAAGCATCCGTGTAATTTTCATCTAGGAGATGTTTATTTTCTTGGCAAGCCAAGGAAGAATAAAAATAATCTTTTCTTGAGAAAGAAGAGATGGCGGGGGGATTTTAGCAAAACACACACACACACACACACACACACACACACACACACACACACACACACACACACACACTCTCTCTCTCTGCTGATGTGTCTGATTTTATTTCATTAAGAGCAGAAAGATAAAGGCGCTGACATCAAAGCTCCCATTAGTTCATATAAAGCCTGAAAAATAAGCTTCTTCATTAATTCTTGGATCAGGCTGTTATTTTACCTTGTGAATTTAAAAAACTTGTTTTAATCTAATGTTCATGTGTGTGAGACTGCCACAGTAGTACAACCTTCATTTATGTTCAGTGGTAGCAGTAATTCTCACAACACCATTTAGACTGAAGGTATAGCGGAGGATCTTTGTTATCCGGGTGGATCATCTCAACCATTGGTCAGCGTAACTGTCAGTCATTCTGGTGAAGCTTTCATGCAAGGCCGTCGTCCTACGTGCTCGTTCCTTGGTTACTTTTCACTTCCTGCAACTATGCATTCTGTTTGTTTAGAGCGATGGCCCTGATTCCTCGTCGCTCTCACCAGGTTCTTTTGAAAATGGCGGTGAGTCGCAAAGAGAAAATGTGTCTTCGAAGTCTACGATGGGGAGAGGAAAGCCTCCAAAGTGAGAAATAAGACCAGAGTCGTTTTAGGAGACTCTTTCCAACGATGGCGTGCCCTAAAAGCGAGCATTGGGCTCCCCACAGATGCCTGTCGTCGGTTTTCTGCTCGACGGGTAAGCTAAAGTTTGTCTTGCTATTTGGAGAAATTCATTTCAGATTACTGCGAGAGGAAGTTAGCTGCAAGGCCGGCAGCTACTTGTAAACAGAGCGAGCACGAGGATAACTGGGCGTTATCTTGTGTCTCTCATGCGCAATTTTTGAAAATGTGGAGAGGGCAATTATACCATCACCTTATCGTGGTGGGGGAGTTTGAGTGCCCTAATGATCCTAGGAGCTATGTTGTCTGGGGCACTTTGTGCCACTGGTAGGGTCTCCCATGACAAATTGGTCTTAGGTGAAGGGTGAGACACAGAACGGTTCACAGGATCTTTCATGGAAGTAAATTCAAAGAGTCGGAGTACCCGGCCCGGAGGGTTACCGGGGTCCCACCCTGGAACCAGGCCTGGGGTTGGGGCCCGTGAGCGAGTGCCTGGTGGCCGGGCTTTCGCCCATGGGGCCCGGCCGGGCCCAGCCCGAACCGGATACATGGGCTCGTCCAACTGTGGACCCACCACTCGCAGGAGGAACATGAAGGCTCCGGTGCAATGTGGATCGGGTGGCAGACCAAGGCGGGAGCCTTGGCGGTCTGATCCCCGGACAAGAAAACTGGTTTTTGGGACATGGAACGTCACCTCGCTGGCGGGGAAGGAGCAGGAGCTTGTGGCAGAGGTTGAGCGGTACCGGCTAGATATAGTTGGACTCACCTCGACACAGAGCATTGGCTCTGGAACCCAAGAGGGGTTGGACACTCTCCTTTGCTGGAGTTGCTCCGGGTGAGAGGCGGAGAGCTGGGGTTGGCTTTTGGTTAGCCCCAAGACTCTCTGCCTGTGTGTTGGGGTTTACCCCGGGGGACGCCTTCGGGGAACGGGTCCTGACTGTTGTTTGTGCTTATGGGCCAAATATCAGTTCAGAGTACCCAACTTTTTGGAGTCCCTGGGACAAGTGCTAGATAGTGCTCCATCAGGGGACTCCATTGTCTTGCTGGGGAACTTCAATGCTCACGTGGGCAATGACAGCTTGACCTGGAGGGGTGTGATTGGGAGGAACAGCCCGCCTGATCTGAACTCAAGTGGTGTTTCGTTACTGGACTTCTGTGCAAGCCGCAGTTTGGCCATAACGAACACCATGCTCGAACATAAGGATGCCCATCGGTACACTTGGTACCACGGCAGCCTATGTCGCAGGTCGATGATAGACTTTGTAGTTGTATCATCTGGCCTGCAACCGTATGTTTTGGACACCCGAGTGAAGAGAGGAGCGGAGCTGTCAACTGATCACCACCTGGTGGTGAGTTGGATCAGATGGCAGGGGAAGATGCCGCGTAGACCTGGCAGACCCAAACGCATAGTGAGGGTCTGCTGGGAACGCCTGGCAGAAGAACCTGTCAAGACGGTCTTCAACTCCCACCTCCGGCAGAGCTTTGACCGCATCCCGACAACAGTGGGGGACATAGACTCCGAGTGGGCCTTGTTCCAGTCTGCGATTGTTGAGGCGGGTGTTGCTAGCTGTGGTTGCAAGGTGGCCGGTGCCAATCATGGTGGTAACACCCGTACCCGCTGGTGGACACCAGAGGTTCAGGGAGACATCAGGCTGAAGAAGGAGGCTTACAGGGTGTGGCTGGTCTGTGGGTCTCCGGAGGCAGCAGGCAGGTACCGGATAGCCAAGTGGGGTGCAGCAGTGGCAGTTGCCGAGGCAAAATCTCGGGCATGGGAGGAGTTTGGTGAGGCCATGGAGAAAGACTATCGATCGGCTCCAAAGAGGTTCTGGCAAACTGTCCGGCGCCTCAGGAGAGGAAGGCAGCAACTCGCTCACACTGTTTACAGTGGGGATGGGGAGCTGCTGACGACAACTGGGGCTATAGTCGGACGGTGGAAGGAATACTTTGAGGAGCTCCTCAATCTCACCTATGCACATTCCGAGGAGGAACCAGAGCCGGGAGACCTGGGGATGGACTGTCCAATCTCGGGGGCAGAAGTTGCTGAGGTAGTCAAACAACTACACAGCGGCGGAGCCCCGGGGGTGGATGAGGTTTATCCTGGGTATCTCAAGGCTATGGATGTTGTAGGGCTGTCATGGTTGACACGTCTCTGCAACATTGCATGGTCATTGGGGGCAGTTCCTGTGGAGTGGCAGACCGGGGTGGTGGTTCCCATCTTTAAGAAGGGTGACCTGAGGGTGTGTTCCAACTATAGGGGGATCACACTCCTCAGCCTCCCTGGAAAGGTCTACTCCAAGGTACTGGAGAGGAGGGTCCGATCGATAGTTGAATCTCAGATTGAGGAGGAGCAATTTGGTTTTCGTTCTGGCCGTGGAACTGTGGACCAGCTCTATACCCTTGCAAGGGTGATGGAGAGGGCATGGGAGTTTGACCAACCAATCCACATGTGCTTTGTGGATTTGGAGAAGGCTTATGACCGTGTCCCCAGGGGCACCCTGTGGGGGACGCTCCAGGAGTATGGGGTGGGTGGCTTTCTGTTAAGGGCCATTCAGTCCCTTTTCCAGAGGAGCGTGAGTTTGGTCCGCATAGCCGGTAGTAAGTCGGACCTGTTCCCGGTGAGGGTTGGACTCCGCCAGGGCTGCCCTTTGTCACCGGTTCTGTTCATTACCTTTATGGACAGAATTTCTAGGCACAGCCGTGGTGTGGAGTGTGTCGAGTTTGGTGGCAGGAGAATCTCGTCTCTGCTTTTTGCGGATGATGCGGTCCTCCTAGCTTCATCCAGCTCTGACCTTCAGCTCTTGCTGGGTAGGTTCGCGGCCGAGTGTGAAACGGCTGGGATGAGGATCAGCACCTCCAAATCTAAGACCATGGTTCTCGACTGGAAAAGGGTGGCTTGCCAACTCCGGGTCGGGGGAGAGGTCCTACCTCAAGTGGAGGAGTTTAAGTATCTCAGGGTCTTGTTCACGAGAGAGGGTAGGAGGGATCGGGAGATCGACAGGCGTATTGGTTCGGCATCTGCAGTGATGCGGACGCTGAGCCGATCTGTCGTGGTGAAGGAGCTGAGCTAGGAAGCCAGGCTCTCGATTTACCGGTCGATCTACGTCCCAATCCTCACCTATGGTCATGAGCTTTGGGTAATGACCGAAAGAACGAGATCGCGTGAAGGCGCTATATAAATAAAGTTTAGTAGTAGTAGTAGTAGTAGTAATCTGTATTCTATCGCTCAGTCAGCAGGGGGCAACGACTATCGTTACAAATTATAAGAGACAATTTTTTTACCCGTAATCTCTGGAAAACGAATTCAACGATGGTCAGTTGTTGAAAAATGTTGACCTC